ATTGTCAACCTATTCAACATCTCGACCAATTTTGCCTCTTTATTCAAGTGAATGAGTAGGAGAATCAGCCATTCTGTTCCGATATCTATTTAATCCAATATCACCCATTCTACATAATGACTGAAAGCTAACATTACCCTGGCGAATTTTCTAGCAGGGTAATTGCACAAGATTGAAAGCAGGAGCTAAGCCAGATTGTATTTCTTCCTCCACCCGATCACAGGATGATGAGGGATATTGTGGTAAAAATCCTACTGCTCCGTAAACTGAGAGCTGCCAACAAAGCATGGGAGGAAGTGGAGATCTAGCATAAATACTGAGCCATTGGGAGTGGGAGTGGGGTCTTAGCATGGCATTCTGACTTGAGTCAGACAGACTGAAAACTTAGATTATGAAGCCAAAGATTATATAATGACATTTTAAGTGCACGGAACTGTGATTAGACATTTTGGATAGATTACTTATAAATTGTTTCTTTCTCTCTCTACCTTAAAAACCCAGCTCTTTGACCAAGCTTTTTGTCACTTGTCCTAATGTATACATGCATGGTTCTGTGTTGAACTTCTTTTTAATAATTGCTCCTACCAAGAATTTTGGAATATTTTACAATATTATAGGCTCTGTATAATTACACTGTTGTTTGCAATGGTACCTTCAATGTATCCACTCAGGTGGCTTCAGTCTAACATGTTGGATTAAACTCTATACTTAAAAAGAAATGTAGATGTGGAAATAAAAACAGGAAGTCGTGAAAGTGTGCAGTTGATCCTTTGGTTTGTAAAAAGATAAAAATGCAATTAATGTTTGGGTTTGGAGTTTTTGTCAATGAGAAGGACACCAAGCTCTTTCTATTGGGCTGTTTAAACTAAAGGGGGTGTTGAGAACACCAGGTCGAAAATCAGAGGTTAAATATGTTTAATGCTTAGTCAAGGAACAACTGTTAGTGTCTTAACAATAGAAATGATTGAGGTGTGAAACCTACTGGATGATATTGAAAGATCCTTTCAGTCAGGCTGTGAAAAGCAATACAAGTGACAAAGTGGAATGAAAGGGCTGTGAAATGGTGGCACAGTGGTTAGCACTGCTGCCTCACAGCGCCAGGGACTCAGGTTCAATTCCACCCTCATGCGTCTGTCTGTGTGGAGTTTGTACATTCTCCCAGTGTCTGCGTGGCTTCCCTCCGGGTGCTTCAGTTTCCTCCCACAGTCCAAAGATGTGCAGGTTAGGTGGATTGGCCATACTAAATTGCCTGTAGTGTTCAGGGATTTGTACATTAGATGGGTTATATGGGGATAGGTCTGGGTGGGATGCTCTGAGGGTTGGTGTGGACTTGTTGGGCCAAAGGGCCTTTTTCCACACTGTAGGGATTCTATGATTCTCTGAAATTGAGTTGTGAAGTGGAGTTTGAGCAATGAAAGCACAAGCTGCAGTTTGCCAACGTACAGCACTTCACACAGGGGAGCACTCCTGACATTTAATATATAGGTATGTAGGTACGTGTAGACACGCAATTGAAGAATGTCACCTTTCTCCACATCCTGTGGACAAGTGGGGCTGATTTGAAGCTGACGGAATTGGGGTTGCTAACAGCATTGGTGGCATCGTGGTAATATCATTGGTGTAGTGATTGGAACAAGTTTGGCCAGGCTGATGTCTTTGAGTATGAGATCCCTGATTGGGGTTGCTAACATGGGACAATCAGGGAGTCCTGGCTGACAGATATAAATAGAAATCCCAGACAGTCTCCTCACTCTAGGGACTGGCACTGAGCTAGCTGGTCCGAGTCCATGTACTGTGCACATGTAAGTAAAGGGTGACTTGGTGACAAGATACTGGCCTCTGTGCAGTTATTTCAAGTGAACTGGTAATCCAGAGGCCCAGGCTAATGCTCTGGGGGCATGAGTTCAAATCACATTCACTAGTTGCTATGGTAAGTGTGGTTATAACAATCTGCAATAGAAAGTTGGTCTTGGTGATGGTCGTCATGACAACTATAGCATAGCGTCATAAAATTCCATCAGGTTTACTAATGTCTTTTAGGGAAGGAAATCTGCCATCTCTATCTGGTTTGGCACATGTCTGACTCCAGACTTAAAGCAATATGGTTGACTCTAAACAGCCTTCTGAAATAGCCTTGGAAACCACTCAGTTCGAGGGTAGTTAGGAATGGGTAACAAATGCTGAAATTACCAGTGACACACACACCTCATGAAAGAATAAAGAGTGAGAAGATATAGGTCAAAAATATAAAGCAATGCTTGGACCTTAAGCTACCCCTACTATTCAGAGCTTTGAATTCGGTGAACCTGTCTCAGGTCAGACATCCAGTCAAGATCAGACCTGTTGCCAACTTCCACCTGACAACTTGAGGACATATTTGAGGGATGCAGCCCCAGTCACAAATTCCAGGAATAACAAGGCTGCTTTTTTCCCCTATTCCACGATCAGAATTGTTCCAAGCGAAAGACGGTTTTCCTGCCATGAAAGGCGTTATTGATTTTTTTCTGGAAATTGTTAGACTTTGCTGCACGTTTTGGAGAGAGTGAGACATACCTTAGAGGGACAAACATCCTCCCGGATCCTGAAAGAATCTCCTGTGAAATACTGCACAGCCATATACCAGCAATTACCCTATTTATCCCAGGATAGATCGTGCTTTGAGTTGTTTTTCTGGAACGTGTACTAATATTTAAAATCATCCTTGTACCATTCAGCAGTTGTCTATGTGGTCAAGTTGATTGATGTGTCATTACTGTGAAAATTCAGCCCAGAGTTTGCTGAGCCGAGCCACCCAATAAAGACGTTGAACTCCCATTTCAAATTTGTGGAAACATTTTGGACAAAAATTGATTGGAGGCTTGTCACCTTTCAAAAGCACCAGCCATGAATTCTAAGTATACCCATTGATTTGGCTTGTTAGTAATGATCAGTGTAATTGTTTCCCACTATAACTGATTGCCAACATTGTCAAGTTCATTAACTTAATAGTTGCTTAACCATTCCTCATCAATCTGCTGCTGAGGTCTTCCTTCCCAAAGTGTTGCTCAGGACATTAGTGCTATAAATCTTTCTTTAAAATCTCCATTTTACGCGCAAATGATTCACAGCTAAAGCTGTAGTTAATTTGTTTCACAGATGGAGAAGTGAAACTGATAAATATCCACTCTATTTTCCTTGCTACCCCAAAATAGTTGGGGATATAACTACACAGGGAGCCATCTGGTGTACTTGTCAAGACGATAACTATTCATTTATATGGTTGCATTCAATTGTTCTGTGTTTGACTATTGGAGTCTGGTAACTGATCTATGCTCACTGTGTTTGAGTGGTTAAGCTTGCATATGGACACAAAGCAAACAGACACTGCAGAAGGCACTAGAAGCTGAGCGATCCGCACCAGTGCCAAAATGTTTGATTGCAGAGATATCTTAAAACTCTTGGTAATAAACCTGTTGCACACTTGGAAACTTGAACCATCTCTATATTGCTCTGAGATGTATAAAAATATGCAACATGTATGCTTGGCCATAAGCTTCAAAAGGGTATTTTGGGGAAAAAGGATGGTGCATCTGAGCTGAACAGTGTCCCAGTATCAAAGCCCCAGTATCAGAACAGCAAACAAAAGCCTCTCTCTAGCCCAGAATCCCAAAAACCAGTTTTAGTACATCGATTCTACCTTGACTGTGGTCAGTTAACTCAAAAACAGCAAGAACTGCAGATGCTGGAGTCAGAGTCAATGCAGTGTGGAGCAGGAGGAATACAGCAGGTCAGGCAGCATCAGAGGAGCAGGAAGGTCAATGTTTCAGGTTTACACCCTTCACTCTGTCCCACTGCATCTCAGTGGATCTTGCTCCCACTGCAACCCACTGGTGATCTTGTCCACCCTGAAGCTCTTCGACCACATACTGAAACAAACCCATTACTACAGCCATGTCCCCTTTCTCAGTACCTGCCGATGCCACTGGCTCATACCGCATGGATCCCAAACAATGACCAGACCATCCCAATTTGGAACAAACCACGACAACTGTTATCTACAGTACATCCAGAGCCTCCAGAAGCAGTTTTCTCTGCAGATCATCAGCTCCATGCTCACAGCCATGTGCCAGCATTTTCTCTCACTACAGTCAGCCCTACTGCAGCTCAGAGCGTCTCTTTCCTAGACCTGCAAAGGACCTCTACTGTTTTTTATTCTACGCAGGGTCCTGATGAAGGGTGTAAAGCTGAAACGTTGACTTTCCTGCTCCTCTGATGCTCCTGACCTGCTGTGTTCCTCCAGCTCCACACTGTATTGACTCAGTTAACTCAATACCAGCTTGTCACTTAACCCAGGGATTTTCAAATCTGAATGATTTAATTCTAAAGAGGGCAATGTTTTGAATAGCTCAGGATAAAGAAGATGACTATGAAGCTTGAAAAACAATTCACATTGTTATTTTGCTCCATCTTCAGGAACATGCTTAAAACTCATTTCAATACAAATATTTTAAAAGAGGGTGGCGAATGTCTGGATTTGCCACTTAAGAGCTGGTTGGGGGGTGACCCTAAACTCTTTTTAAATGTACCTGGATCCGCACCTTAAGTGCTGTAGGTTGCAGGGAATAAGTCACGTGCAGAAAGATGGGATTAGAAAGAGCATCTGGGTGTCTTTGAGCCGGTATGGACAAGATGGGCCAAATGGCACCCTTATGTGATAGTATTATTTCTATGGTTCTATAGTTCTATGTCTATTTGGTATCCTAAATCTCACTTCATACTCAGTATCAGTACTCAGTATACACTTAATCTTTGTTCGATGTTTAAAACATTCTACTATGACAAAAAACTCTATTTACATGTTAACATACGATAAAGGGAGACTTCACAGCATTCACAATCAGAGGCTGTCTCACCAGTAAACACCCTCCCAAAATTCCCCATAGACCCCCCTCCTTTGACAGTCATCTTCTGCAATGATTGTGCTAACTCACCTTTCCCGTTTTCTCTTCTACAGCTAAACTATGACCACTCTGCTTTTAGTGTTTGTGTGCTTGCGAGTGATCGCAGCGGCTATTTCAGTCGAAGTTTCTGGTAAGGAATTTTTCAAAGTAAATTAGTAATGATCTCTTTTAATATGAATCATCAGTTTGTAGTCTTAACTCAGTTTGGAACACAAACACAAGAAGCAACAGTTTTAAGTAGCATATGGATACTCTCAGATCATAAATGTGAGGTCCCACAAGACTCTGATTCCTGATAGACTTGTGGATCTCAAAAGCACTGGTTCTCCAAAAGACGTTTCAAACTTCATCCTTGATTATTTTATGTTAGCAGCTCACATTCAAATAAACTGGTGCTTAGATGTCCAGTTGTGCATCAGATTTCTATATTTTCTAGCCGGAGAGCCAGAGATAGGGTCTTGCAGATTCGTGACATTTTAAATAGAAGACTGCCTCCAACCAATATCAGTAATGTAATGTCATTCTGAGCAACTTGTAATATTTGTAATTGAAATTGTAATCAAAAAGTTATAATTGTAATTGACAGTAATTGAAAACTTCATCACGCAACAAAAATTGGGATGTTTGATTCTCCCATTAGGTCTGGCCCATTTGCTAATGTAAGGAGATCTTATTTTCTTCTGTATAACAGATGACACTAAAGCCCTGAGCGTGAAGATTGCCATGCAGTCACCAGTGAAGGCTCTTCTTGCAAGCTCTGTGACTATCCCCTGCTACTTCATCGACTCCACACCATTCTCACCAGACACTCCCTTGGCAACTTTGCTGGCCCCAAGAATCAAATGGACGAAAATCAGCGAAGCGGGGAAAGAGACACTCATTGCAGTTGCCACCTCTGGAAAAGTTAAGATCAGCCAAGAGTACCAAGGTCGAGTCAAGCTTCCAAGTTACCATGAAATCCCAAATGATGCCACCTTGGAGTTGGATAAACTACAGTCGAGTGATTCTGGAATGTACCGCTGTGAAGTGACACATGGTATTGAGGACAGCCAGGACATCATAGAGTTGGTTGTTAAAGGTAAATATTATGCTTTATTTCAGTTCTTTTTTTTTCCCTTCTCTGCTTTTTGGAAAGTTATTTTTGACATTATAGCCAGGAATAGCTTTACATAGTATGTTTGTTACGAGCAAAATACCTCTCCTTTCATCACTAGAGTTTGTTGGTATATTCCAATGCCAAACAAATTGATTCTCAATGAAGCTTCTGAATTTCATGGTTGCTAATCGGAATACCCAAATTTGGCAGCCCTTCCTCACCCAAAGCAAATCAGTGTTGTCAATAGGGGGCATTTTGATTATGGTGGAGTCAAATTGGTGCTACAAATCCTTCAAGTCCACCCTTGGGACATGGATGTGCAAAAGTAAGAAAAAGTGCTGGGGACCTGCTGGGGAGTTGAAAGGCACCTTTCTGTGCCATTGTTTTTCTACGGCTCTATGGGAGACAAGATCCAAGCCTGTATTTAAGCTGACTGAATGAAAGATTTAATAGTACTTATTCAGCAGCAACAATGGTAATGAGGAGAATGCAATAGCAAAGTCTTGTGAGATCTATGGGATGGCCTGATTATAATCAGCCACCTAGACTTTGATAACATTTGTCGGGTCAAGTCAATAAAAATACTTACCGAGCCGCAAGAGCCTGAGCTATCACTACCTTCCCAATAAATAATTTACAATATGCCGGAAGCGCAGTAAGTTGATTCTAGAGGATGTTTGATACCCTCATTTTCCCTTCTGATTTCAGGTATTGTCTTCCATTATCGTGCAATCTCCAGCAGATACACCCTCAACTTCTACAAAGCCCAGCAGGCTTGTGTTGATAACACTGCCACCATCGCAACACCAGAACAACTGCAGGCAGCTTACGACGATGGATTTGATCAATGTGATGCTGGATGGTTGGCTGATCAAACTGTAAGGTCTGGACCAATTATACGTGCTATCCACAAATGTATGTGGTCTGCCCTTTGGGAGTATGGTATAGCATGTGGTGGTAAAACTAACACGATAACGAAGAAAATCTTCCGAGGCCTCCATAAATTTCCAAACTATGCCAGCTTCAGTGAGGCCCACAAGTCATGTAATGACTTGAGCTATCCCAATATGTATATTGTAGAAATAATTGTCGATAGAAATTATTTTACATAGCAGCATGCAAGAGATAATCCAGCACCTATTCAAGAAGACAATGTTTCCTATTTTCTCCTTCAGCTCCCAACAGTAATGAATAATAATTATATATGATTTTCTTGGCAACAATAACCCTATTAGACCACAATGAAGTAGTCTTTCTATATGAGCCTAGTGGGTGAATCATGGCAGACTGTTCATGAAACCAACAAACAGTTAGTTCCTGTTTTGTCCATTTTACAACTTCTTCTATAGTGGATGCCAATATTTACTGGGAACAAAAAAGACACTGCAATTTTTTTTGACAGCTATTTCTGAACTTGTATTCTTAGGTATCCAATTCATAAACCTCGAGTTGGATGCTATGGTAACTTGGATGAATATCCGGGTGTCAGATCATATGGTGTTAGAGATACAAACGAAACCTATGATGTTTATTGCTTCGCAACAGAACTGCAAGGTAAGAAACGTGTTCTTTCTTGGAGATAACGCATATAGTGGTTCACAATGAAGGACACAAAGTTGAAGAGAGAACAAGAAAAAGCATAAGGTCAATTTGGCCAAACGGTGCCAACTTGCAGTCTCCTCCAGTGACTTCCCAGTGTCCAATATGGGTCAAGAACGTGCCTGCAGAAGCTTAAGGCTGCACTCATGGCCAATGACAGTGAAAGTGTATTTTTTTAAGCTCGCACAGTGACAAACTGTAAATGAATGTGAATAAGGTCTTCAGGACCAGTGGAATACAAGTACAATTCAGAGGAATGGTTGTAGAGTACTTGGAGTAGGCTTAGCAATTTTGCCATAAACTCTCTGGTGTTTCAGGAGAGTGTGTCACAGCAAACAACTCCCCGCTACTTTTTGTTAGTGACAGCATGTTAAGAAGTGGCTTTTCCAGTCATGACTTACCTCTCTTATCAGATAGAGTGTGCGTTTAAAGGCTACATTTAAGCGCACACTCGATTTGTCTAACATATTGGGACAAGGGAGAGAAGTCGACGCTGGAAAAGTCAGTTTTCAATAGCATGATGTCTGAGATGCAACTGTACATGTGCCGATGGATCACTGAATCTCAAAATTTCAGAATCATAAAATTGTTACAGTGCAGAAGGAGGCCATTCAGCCCACTGTACCTGCAGTAGCTTTCCAAGCATGTTGATTTTGTGCCAAACTCCTGCCTTTTCCCCAAAACACCACATGTTTTATCTATCTAATTATTTATCTAATGTCTTCTCAATTAATTTTGACTCCAGCACACTTCCAGGTAGTGCATTCTAAACCAGAGCACGCATTGTGTGGAAAAGCTTCTCCTCACCACACATTTGCTTCTTTTGCGAAACATTGTATGCTCTCATTCTTGATCCATTTAGGAGTGGAAACAGATTTTACCCCGTTTATACTATCCACCCCTCATGATTTTGAAAATCCCTTTTAAATCTCCTCTTAGCCTTCTCCTCTCCAAAGAAGACAGTCCCAACCATTCCAATCTATCCTCAAAACTGCAGGTTCTCATCCCTGGAACCATTTTCATAAACCTCTTCTGCGCTTTTTCCAATGCGTTCACATCCTTCTTAAAGTGTGGTACTGAGAACTGTACGCAGTGCCCCAGCTGAGATTTAACCAGTATCCTGTATAGGTTCAACATAATCTCCCTGCTGTAGTACCCTACACCTCTACTAAATTAACCTATAACCCCTATGCTTTATTAATAGTTCTTAACTGTCTTGCCACCAACATGAGAAGTGTCCGTAGGATGGGATTTCCACTTGGCCAGGCTGACCTGCCGCTCTTTAACTTGTATATTAAAATATTTTACTCCCTGTAACTTCAATTATTTTAACTTAATTTGACCTTATTCTTGTACAATTAGCTAAAAGCTCATAATTAGTGGCAAGTAGATATTCCTCATCCCTGTTCACCAATCAGCTCCTTCTCCTGAGTCTATAGTTTCTATTTTCCCTGTACTAGTTTGGAAATTGACAGAATTTGCAAAAGTTTTAATCTAGAAACACAGTCCCTTACAGCAGCTGCTCAACAATCAATTAACTCACTACTTTTCATAATTTCATGTTGGTGCCCTGTCTCCTGCGCTGGGGACCCCCACAGCCCATGTGAATGAATTTCTCCCCACAAATTTTCACCCCACGGGAGGGGTTAGCACACATAGGAACATAACATAAGAACCAGGAGCAGGAGTTGGCTCTTCGAGCCTGCTCCACCACTCAAAAAGAGTACAGCTGATCTTTTCATGGCCTCAGTTCCACTTACCCACCCTCTCATCATAACCCTTAATTCCTTTACTAATCAAAAAATTCTCTATCATAGCCTTAAAAGCATCCAATGAGGAATCCTCAAATACTTCACTGGGAAAGGAATTCCAAAAATTCACAACCCTTTGGGTGAAGAAGTTCCTCCTCAATTCAGTCCTAAATCTGGTCCCCTAATTTTGAGGCTGTGACCTTTTGTTCTAGTTTCACCCACCTGTGGAAACAACCTCCCTGCTTCTATATTATCTATTCTCTTCATAATTTTATGCATTTCTATAAGATTCCCCCTCATTCTTCTAAATTCCAATGAATATAATCCCAGCCTTTTCAGCCTCTCCTCACAGGCCAAACCTCTCAGCTCTGGAATAAACCTAGTGAATCTCCTCTGCACCGCCTCTAGTGCCAGTACATCTTTTCTCAAGTAAGGAGACCAAAACTGTACACAGTAATCCAGGTGTGGCCTCACCAGCACCCTATACAACTGCAACATAACCTCTCTACTTTTAAACTCAATTCGTCTTGCAATGTAGGACAAAATTCCATTTGCCTTCTTAATCACTTGTTGCACCTGCAAACCAATCTTCTGCAATTAATGTACAAGGATACCCAGGTCCCTCTGCAGCATGCTCCAATTTTTTACCGTTCAAATAATATTCTTTTTTATTGTCATTCCCACCAAATGGATGACTTCACATTTATCAACATTGTACTCCATCTGCCAGAACTTTGCCCACTCACTTAAACTATCTAGATCCCTCTGCAAACTTTCAGTATCTCCTGCACACTTTGCTCTACCACTTATCCTAGCATCATCCGCAAACTTTGACACACTACACGTGGTCCCCAACTCCAAATCATCCATGTAAATTGTAAACAATTGCGGTCCCTGCACTGATCCCAGAGGCACACCACTAGTCACTTTTTGCCAACCAGAAAAACACTCATTTAACCCCACTCTTTGCTTCCTGTTAGTTAACCGGTTCTCAATCCATGTTAATACATTGCCTGTAACACCATGCACCTTTATCTTATACTGTCTTTTCCTACAGTCCTTCCTTTTCACTGGTATATACTTTTGCTGAGCACTATGAAAAATTGCTTTGAAAGTCCTCCCCTGTTCCTCAACTGTTCCACCATACAGTCTTTGCTTCCAGTCTGCTTTAGCCAACTCCCCCTTTGTCCTATTGTAGTCTCCTTTGTTTAAGCACAGGACCCTGGTATTGGATTTTATCTTCTCACTTTCCATCTGTATTCTAAATTCAACCATACTGTGATTGCTCCTTCCAAGAGGATTCCCTAACTACGAGATCATTAATTATCCCTGTCTCATTACACAGGACCAGATGTAGGATAGCTTCCTCTCTCATCAGCTCCATTACATACTGTTCAAGAAAACTATCGCAGATACATTCAATGGACTCCTCCTCAAGGCTGCCTTGACCGACCTGGTTCGACCAATTGACATGTAGATTAAAATGCCCCATGATAATTACCGGACCATTTTCACAGGCATTAGTTATTTCTTTGTCTATTGCCTGTCCCATTGTGATGTTATTATTTGGTGGCCTATAGACTATGCCTATCAGTGACTTTTTCTTCTTAGAATTTCTATTTCTCTGCACATTCTACAGTTCCACAAGATAGCGCTCGATCTAACATTATTTTGTTGAAAGTCTGTACCAGATGTACTATAAAAAGAGCAGGTTTGAATAAAGAATATGTCTTATAGTTGTATTATTAATGTATATAGAGGAAATGATCAGTAAATTATATAAAATATGCAGTGCATAATATAAAAAACAGAAAGTGCTGTAAATATTTAGCTGATGTGGATACTGCTATGGCGACAGGTATAGGGTTGATATTTCCAATTGAAAATGACTTTTGTTTCTTATGTTTTATGATCTTATGTTCTCATTCAGAACTAATTAACATAGTTGTGCTTTTAGTTGCACTATTAGTGACAACAAGTGCACGTGTCCTTTTCAAGAACAATAAAGATTGACATCAATGCTGGCCTTACCAGTGATTGATAAAGTTTTTTTTTAAAGAGGACCATAGTTGTGATGAAGGCTTCTTTCCTAATTGCAGACTTAGAAGTTTTTTCAATCCTCCAATTGGGAACCAAATAAATTTCTCTGTTGCATATGTGTGAGATTCTACCTTCAGGATCAGCAAAGGAAATGCAAAGTGGACACTTCATTCCAGATCGAAAGAGTGCTCCACAGCCAGAACACGCTGATGAACTCAAAGTGTTAGAAGGCTTCAAAAAGTAAACAAACAAATGCTTGACATCTGAAATATTTCATGGTCATTGCATTTAATAAATAAATAGCAATAGAACAGGATAGGTAAGGGGACGGACAAGCCTGATGGAACAACCACCTGCCTTATTCCTTACTCAACCCAAAAGAGGTACAGTTAATATCTCCCCAATAGTGAATGTAAAGGATTTCATTTTGCACAGCAGCCCAGTGGAACAGCAAATTGAGGTCATTCTTCTGCGTTGAATATACATGGAGCTTTATCACATTAGGCACTCCCAATCCTCTCTTCCCAGATGGGAAAAGCATGATTCTAAGCAAGATTATGTTGTATTTAACATACCAGTGTTGAACATTATTAAATATCAAGTTTCATAGGTGGTTTTTAGCACACATGATGCCTCTGCCAACTTAGAGCCAAACTCGATTGCCAAGTTTAAACTGGTGACTACCTCATTGATTCCCATTCAGAAGCCATTCATTTGAAATTAAGTCATTAAGAAGAAGCACAGTGAGGGAAATATTTAGATTTAGATGTATTTATTTGTCACATGTACTAAGTATAGGAATACGTAAGTACAGGGAAAAGTGCACAAAGTCACCATTCACTGGTGCCCACTTGGTTACAAAAAACAGAATTAAAAGATTTAACAGAGCCAAAAGGTAAGCAAAAAAAAAGGTCCAGATCTCAGAGTCCCAAGTCCCATCTCCACAATGGTGCAGGCCCCACTCCAACTGCTAGGATACCTAGGAGGCCGCTGCCATCACCATGCGAAAGGCCTGCTCTTGCCACCGTCGCCACCTTAACAGCCCACTCTCGCCACCAACCGCCACTGCCTCACCATCCCGCTCTCACCGCCACTGCCTCACCAGCCCCGCTCTCACCGTTACTGCCTCACCAGCCCCGCTGTCACCATCACTGCCCCACCAGCCCACTCGCACCGCCACTGCCCCACCATCCCCACTCTCACCGCCACTGCCTCACCATCCCCGCTTTCACCGCCACTGCCCCACCAGCCCCGCTCTCACCGCCACTGCCTCACCAGCCCCGCTCTCACCGCCACTGCCTCACCATCCCCACTCTCACCGTCATTGCCTCACCAGCCCCGCTCTCCTCGCCACTGCCTCACCAGCCCCGCTCTCACCGCCACTGCCTCACCATCCCCGCTCTCACCACCACTGCCCCACCAGCCCCGCTCTCACCGCCACTGCCTCACCATTCCCGCTCTCACCGTCACTGCCTCACCTGCCTGCTCTCATCGCCACTGCCTCATCAGCCCCGCTCTCACCATCACTACCTCACCAGCCCCGCTCTCACCGTCACTGCCTCACCAGCCCCGCTCTCACCGCCACTGCCTCACCAGCCCCGCTCTCACCGCAACTGCCTCACCAGCCCCGCTCTCACCGTCACTGCCTCACCAGCCCCACTCTCACCGTCACTGCCTCACCAGCCCTGCTCTCACCGTCACTGCCTCACCAGCCCCGCTCTCACCGCCACTACCCCAGTAGCCCTGCTTTCACCGTCACTGCCCCACCAGCCCACTCTAACCATCACTGGCTCACCATCCCCGCTCTCACCGTCACTGCCTCACCATCCCCGCTCTCACCGTCACTGCCTCACCAGCCGCGCTCTCACTGCCACTGCCCCACCATCCCCGCTCTCACCGCCACTGCCCCACCAGCCGCGCTCTCACCGCCACTGCCACACCATCCCCGCTCTCACCGCCACTGCCCCACCAGCCCCGCTCTCACCACCACTGCCTCACCATCCCTGCTCTCACCGCCACTGCCCCACCAGCCCCGCTCTCATCGCTACTGCCCCACCAGCCCCGCTCTCATCGCCACTGTTCCAACAGCCCGCTCTCACCACCGGTGCCACACCGGCCCAGTCTCGCCGCTGATCCTGCCCACTCTTGATCCGCTGCCATTGCTCCGGCCCACGCTCAATCAGCTGTCGCTGCAGGACACGACCCGCACGTTCAGCTCCTGCCACATGGTTCCCGGTCACAACCCAACTCCTCAGGTAGGTAGTGAAAAGGGTGGGTGAGGGGGGGATAGAATTATTGCAGAGAGGAGAGAGAAGAAGAAAAGAAAAAGAAAGGAAAAGGAAAGAGAACTGGAGAGCAGAATGGAGCTCCAAATGGAGCGACTTAGCCTGCATTTTCACACAATGGATAATAAAGTAGAAATGAGTTAAGAGGCAATTAAGTTTCTAACAAGAAGAAAGATTAAATGCAAGTTAGCTAGGTTGATCCATCTGAAAGGATTAAGTTTGGTTTGGTGTTCAACACCCTATTGTGCGTTGGTTTATCACATGTAACTTTTTCACGGACTGTATTTGCTGGAATTTGAGGTGAATTCACTTAACTCAATTGATCAACTTCACATTTTTCCCCTTTCTGTCTCTAGGTAATGTCTTCTACATAACTACCACTGGGAGATATGCCTTTAAGGAAGCAATGGAAGCTTGCCTTGACAAAGGTGCCCAGTTAGCCACCACAGGACAATTATACATGGCATGGAAAGATGGCATGGATCAATGCAATACTGGCTGGCTTGCTGATGGCAGTGTCAGATATCCAATCACGAAGCGAAGACCCAACTGTGGTGGCAACTTACTAGGTGTAAGAACTGTGTACCGGTACACCAACCAAACTGGGTACCCTGATCCAAGCACCCACCATGATGCCTATTGCTTCAGTGGTAAGAGATTATACATTTCCAGCTGGTTTGATTGTGTAAATATTGGTTATTATCATGAAGGTGTTCAAAAGCTGATACAGATAAACTGCTTATTCTAGGACCAAGAAAGGAAGCCAAGGTAAATTTTCGAACCCAATAAATATTAAGGTTCAGAGAAGTTGAAGTCATAAAACAATAGATTAATCTGTTGAGAGAAGTGTCTGAGAGGTGTGGGACACATGGCAGTCCTATAAGGCTTATTGACATTGGTGACTAAAGCTTACTTTAATTGAAAAATAAATCAGTTATTTTCAGACATAGCACAATACAGAATAACGGTTCCAATCACTTCTGCAATGTTGTAAATTAAATACGGGGATGATATGAGAAACAGATTGTTTTGCAAGAATTTTAATTTTTCTTTTTGCAGTGGGTGAGTGCACTGCCAATTTCACTTCAGGGAATCTGGGTTTGAAACTAACCAAAATGAGGGAGTTTTCTCACTCTATAAGTGGTGTATGTGCCTATCTTAACCTATAGGGAACGAATTAGGTGAAAAAAAAGGCAGAACAAGGGGGAAAGTGTGAATAGCCAAGGTCTTTTTCCAGGATAGGGGAGTCCAAAACTAGGGGGCATAGGTTTAAGGTGAGAGGGGAAAGATTTAATAGGGACCTAAGGGGCAACTTTTTCACATAGAGGGTATATGGAATGAGCTGCCAAAGGAAATGGTGGAGGTTGGTACAATTACAACATTTCAAAAGGCATCCAGATGGGTATATGAATAGGAAGGGTTGAGAGGGATATGGGCCAAATGCTGGCAAATGGGCCTCGATTAATTTAGGATATCTGGTAGGCATGGACGCGTTGGACAGAAGGGTCTGTTTCCATGCTGTACAATTCTATTACTCTATCTATGATTGGCAACAGCAAAGCTAAGTATTGACAGCTGTGGAGGCACCTATAATGCTCACCCCTTTACATAGTCTCTTCATTTACAGATGTAGGGGATCCAGTGTCTGTTTCATTATCAATGCGCTAAGTTGGTAAGCCATGAATGAGTGTTGCTCTGCCTGGGGTTCTATAAGAGGTGCTGCAGCCATTAGTGAGTAAATTTGGAAGCGGTGTAGTGGATACAGGGCACACAGATATGGTTTGCTCAGTGCCACAGCAAAGACAAGGGCAAGCATCAGACCTCCCAATCAGTTACATGTGGCCATCTATTATTACGCTCCCAAAAATGGGCCAAACATAGCTTCTACCCGCTAGTGCTTGTTGTTAATAATCATCCTCCCAGTGAGCCCAAATGGACTGTAACACCTATACTAATGTGCTTTGGTTAGCCTAGGTCTCAATCAGTTAATTAGAGAGGTAAGATCCCATTGATGTAAGAACTACAGACTGAAAGGACTCTGATGTGTAATTTAATTTGATGTTATTTTTTGCAATATTAAGTACAATGGAGGTCCTTCCCATAATCTTGTCTTTGCTGATAATCTCTTCAATGTGTTTCTTTTCCAACAGGAAAGGCTGCTATCGAAACAATAACAGAAACTCCACTCATCTACCCAGCAACAGAGCCAGAAGAATTATTTACAGATGATGGAAGTGCTTTTACCGTTCAAACTATTACTGAAAGGGTAGAGAAATTCTTTACAAAACCAGTTGTAGGCAGGCAAGCAATAGGAGACGTTATTACACTTAGTCCCTTTACACCAGAAACCCTTCCATTCACTGAGGAAGTAACTGAGGTGACCAGATTTCCTGAGATTGTCACTCCAGGGACTGGCAGCATTCCACCTTCTGAGGAACCCATTCCATCTGTTACCGAGGGAATTACTGTTGCTGAAATTACACACCTACCTGAAAACTTAACAATTAGTGAAGAGTTAGCCACCCCTGAAATCGCATCAGCAGTAACCGAGATGGTCACCCTATCAGAAATCACCGCTTCCGAGGTAGCAACTGCTGAGGTGTCTACGCCTGCTGAAGAACTGACGGTAACCGGGAGACTTGAAGAGGTCACAGTGACTCCACAGGAGAGTCTAGCCACTATTGAGGAGGTTGTCGCTGTGGTAACAGCAGCTCCTGAGGTCTTTGCGACTGTGCCTGAGGAGCTAACAACTATTCCAGAAGAGACTGGCACCCCGGTCACAGAAGTCATCACCCAAACATTAATAACTGAGGAAGGGAGCGCAACCATAGAACCAATATTTCCTATCAGCTCAATTTCTCCAACTGGTGAGTTATTGCCTTGAAGGATACAAGAACTAATCTGCCATCATGTGACGGCATTTCAGAGGCTTTATAGGAAAATATGGGCGCCTAGTGGCTGTGGTATATGACTGGCAACTCTAAGGTTGTGAATGCCAGCCCCGTTACAGCAAGGCACAATGAATTCAATCGATGACCTAACAGTGTAGGTGCATAGTTCCTTGAAAGTGGAGTCACAGGTAGACAGGGTGATGAAGAAGATTTGGCACGCTTGCCTTTGTTGGTCATAACATTGAGTATAGGAATTGGTATATCATGCTGAGGCTGTACAGGATATTGGCGAGGCCACTTTTAGAATACTGCATACGATTCTGGTTGCCCTTCTATAGGAAGGATGTTGTTAAACTTGAGAGGATACAGAAAAGATTTCCAAGGATATTGTCAGGACTGGAGGCTTTGAGCTATAGGGAGAGGTTGGATAAACTGGGGCTCTTTTCCCTGGAGCATTGGAGACTCACAAGTGACCTTATAGAGAGTTATAAAATCATAAGGGACATAGATAAGGTGAATAGCCAAGGTCTTTCCCCAGGATAGCAAAGTCCAAAACTAGAGGGCATAGATTTAAGGTGAAAGGAGAAAGCTTTGAAAGGGGACTGAGGGGTAACATTTTCACAGAGGGTGGTGCGTGCATGGAACGAGGTGGCAGAGGAAATGGTGTAGGTGGATGCAATTCCAACATTTAAAAGTTATCTGGATGGGTATATGAATGGGAAGGGTTTAGAGGGATATCGGACAAATGCTGGCAAATGGGCATAGGTCAGATTGGGAAGTCTGGCCGGCACAGATGAGTTGGGCCTAAGGGTCTGTTTGTATGCTGCATGACTCTGTGACTCTATGGATATTTGTAGTTTGCACCAGGAAATACACAATAGATAGGAAATCAGTCAGGAAAGGAAACTTCCACCTCTACCTGACAGAAGTACACGTGAACGCCAGCCCCAAATGAGTTGGTACACTTTTGATGGCTCTAGGAATATGCAATTCTTATTTGGATTTCCATTGCCACCCTCCTATCCTGAGCAAATTATAATACAAGTTTCTTGATCACGTTTCAGAGGATAACTCGTTGCATTACTTCCCGGAATGCAAGTTTTTTAATTAAAAAAATCTGTCACAAAAAGCTCAATTTACATACTTTCTGTTAGAACATCAAAGTTAACCAGCATCGTTCCTAATGTAAATACATAATAGGGAACAATATGTGAGAAATTGGTTTCTGATATATTTGATGATAATATTTATTAAAAATGTGTTGGGGAAATTACAGTAGCCTAAAAATAAAATAAATGTCAGGAAGTTGTTGAGTATGCTGTCTCTTTGGCATATTTTATGGTAGGGATTGGAGATAGACAGCAAGGTACAAATAGAAGGGGATCCCCTGCTGTCTTTATCCTTTTAAACTGACCATTGGGTCTCATCATACTTTTTTAAATTCAACTCATATTCTCACCTTTTCTTTTACTTGGGTGATGTGCTTTGCTGTGCATCTTTACCTTTCAATTCTAAGTTAAAACAATAGTTACAGTAATTCAATCATAAGCATATTTCAGCATTGGAGGCCGTTCTGCCCATAGACCTATTCTAGCTGTAAACCAGTATCTACTCTAATTCCACTTCTCCTTGCACTCTGTGGTGTTTGCTTTTTCAAGTGTTTATCTAATCTTCTCTTAAAAATTGTGATTGATTGAGCTTCAACAATTGCTTTTCAGAATACACCCAATAACCTAAAAATTTTGTGTGTGAAAAATTCTTTCTTTATCTTTCCCCTTTAATGCTCTGATTGTTAATACTGAGTTCATGCTTGTTACCAATTCACTGGCCCGCAATATTTGTTTTTACCAAGTTCTTTCTAAACTTTTATTAGACTGTCAGATCATTCTTTAACCTTCTCATCTCTAACCTGTACTGCTCTATTCAAAGTACAGCTTTCTTTGGTGCTGGTACTTTTGGTCAATGACTAGCAAAGCAAACTTCAAAAGACTGAAAAATCTGTAATGGAGCAGAAGTTTAAGCTGTCAAGCCAGCTACAGATACAATGAGTGGATAAATAAAGAACTGACCTTTAAACTTGCTAGTCTATCATTCAAATATCACTAAAAATGTTCAAGTCTAGGAAATTGCCTCACCCCTGTGCCCATTAGGTCAAAACATGAATGATAATAAATGTCACTGTTTAATGGCACAACAATAAGGCTGCATCTCTGCTATTGTTGGTGATGAGGCTTGGAAGAGGTCGATATTTTAAGAGAGGTTACAGGAATCTAAGGTATTTTTAAGAATATTGTTTATTCAATGTTCTATAAACCATGGACTTAGCAATTGAGCTACACAGTAACATCTCTTTTAAGAATCTCTGCAGCTTGTGATGTCTTGCATCACTACTGAACTAGCTTATGATTCACATTATTGAGCATTAACCCTTTACAACATTCATTGTATGCGGCCGGCTTTATTTGGTGCAGCTCAATCACCTGCACATATGTTCCTCAACAGGGATTGTTTTCCATTACCGTGCTATTTCAAGCAGGTACTCTCTGAACTTCACCCAGGCCCAAATTGCCTGCTTGGAAAATAATGCTGTCATCGCCACTCCTGAGCAGCTTCAATCAGCCTATGAACAGGGATACAACCAGTGTGATGCGGGCTGGCTCGCTGACCAGACTGTCAGGTAAAACATACACTAAATCTCTTTGTTCCAAATGAAATGTCATCTACAAAGCATATAAAGCACAGAGGAAGGCCCAACG